GGGGGGGATCATATTTGCTTTGCAAAAGCTGTTTCTGAAAAGAGTGTTGTTGGTTTTATTTTTATTTTTCTTGTCCTGACATCTGAGTGAAAAATCTTACCATGGTCGCTCATTGGCAAGTATCCTTAGCAAGAAGACAAACCATAATAAGGCTGTGGAAAAAAGCTCAGCAGGAAAATGCATCCACTCACAGACATTAATACACAACTACCAGCTTTACCTACCGTACACAACACAAAGCAACTGTGATTTAAATGGCTATGGGAAATGCAAATATGCAGGATAGAGCAGAAAAGTTGACCCGCATGTGAAAAAAAATCACTGTAGACCTTTGAAAACCTTCAGCACATTGATTTGTAGCTGATAAACTAAGGCACTAACGCTCAACAAAAACACAACAGCAAACTCAGGATAGGTTAGAACGGAGTATGCCCGCTTTCCTATGCTGACCACACAGTCTAACTTTTTAAATTCAAGAGCACCTTGTTGGGCCAGGCAGAGATGCTAAGAGAGGAAGACAGCAATAGATGGCACAAAGGTCACAGAAATAATGGCTGAGTTGGAAGGGGCCCCATGAGGCCATCAAGTCCAACCCCCGGTTCAGTGCAGGAATCCGGCAGACAGCTCTCCAATTTTCTCTTGAATGCCTGCCTCTCTGTCAAATCCTCCGTACAGTCATTGTCACATGGCTACGAGCTGTCCCATGCCATAAAGACCCCATGGGTGCAGGATGGAGAGGAGCACGGAGGGGTTCCATCTAGCTCCATGAGCGTCTGGAAAGGAAAGCAGCATAAAGGAGTTTCTTTAAAGCAGGTGGTTCCCAACTTTGGGTCCCTAGATGTTCTTGGACTACAACTCCCAGAAATCCTGGCCAGCACAGCTAGTGGTGAAGGCTTCTGGGAACTGTAGTCCAAGAACTTCTGGGGACCCAAGGTTGGGAAGAGTCTTCCCCAAATGAAGAACGTGGCAGAAGAGTGGCCCTGCTGTCTTATACATCTCAGCCATTTTAGAAATAATGACAGCCATAGCTTGGGAGCTTGGGAAGGGTTTTTTTTTTGGGGGGGTCTACACCTACAAGAACTCTGCTGGCACAGGGGATTCTGGGACTTATACAGTGATGCCTCGCTTAGCGATGTTAATTGGTGCAGCAAAAATCGCCGCTAACCGAAAACATCGCTAAGCAATTTTTAAAAGCCCATAGGAATGCACTGAAACCCCTTCAATGCAATGAGCGGCTAGAAAGGAAAGCAGCATAAAGGAGTTTCTTTAAAGTAGGTGGTTCCCAACTTTGGGTCCCTAGATCTTCTTGGACTACAACTCCCAGAAATCCTGGCCAGCACAGCTAGCGGTGAAGGCCATGCTTTTAACCCAGTGGCCATTTTGGAACTGCCTATCAGCTGTTGCGAAAACATCGCTATCCGAAAACCGGTAAGCGAAACAGCTTACCGATCATCACAAAGGGATTTTTCCCATTTAAAACATCGCAATGCAATCGCTTTTGCGATCACAAAAACCAAATCGCTATGTGATTTTGTCGTTAACCGGGGCGCTCGTTAAGCGAGGCACCACTGTAATCGGAAAGTCAGCACAGCCACTTATCATGCCAGCTGACGTATTCTGGGAATTGTGTCACACAGATGTGACTTGTCCAAGCTCTTGGGATGGGAGGGTCAGCATAGCCACTTATCATGCTAGTTGATGTATTCTGGGAATTGTGACACACAGAAGTGACTTGTCCAAGCTCTTGGGATGGGAGGTAAAGAAGAAAGAAGGAAACTGTATGTGCTGGGCTTGACTGGTCTAGAACTTGAGGTTCTAAGCGCCTTGGCAACTGAACACACACATGCTCTCCCAAATCCTCTTCCTGCAGAGGAAAGCTGAACAAACCTCTCAAAGCCATCATCTTACACAATCAGCAGCCTTCTCTTCCTCTCCCTCTC